ATTTTCAAAAATTGAATTTGTCTTTGTGCCAGTTCAAATTGTGCATCACTGCCCCTTCCTGCCGCATCAAGTTTCTGCCATGTGATTTGTCCAACAGTCACTTTCAGTTTAAAATGCAGTCTCTTTCTAAGAAAGCTCAGCTGCCTTGGGACTCTTTACCTCCTGTCTCTTCTCTTCTCCCTAGTAGGGGAAGGGTGTCTAGCTGCTGGGCTGATCTCTGTCCTTTCTGGGCCCCTCTGAAATCTCCCCTGGGTACCAGCATCCTTCCCAGCTGCTTCTGGCACCACATCCTCATCCCGGTCTTAGGTCCCTTGGAATTTCTGGTTGTCCCAGAATGCGTGCTCCCTCCTTGGGTCTGGGCCGGGTAGGGTTTTGTGACTATGTCACGGCCTGCTCACCTGGCATCTCAGGCACCATTTCCTTGTTTTAGAAGAGAGATTTCTCTGGGAGGTGTGTACTCTCTCTGGGCTACATCTGGGACAGTGAGACATATTTTCCTCTATTCTCAGATCCCCTGCATCCACTAGTAGTTTCTGTAACTCCTCATCCTGGGGCTTGGGCTGCAGGTACGCTGTTGGGCTTTTGATCCTTACCCAGGGACTGTGTTAGTCAGGGCTCTCCAGAGAAACAGATGTATATGTGTGTGTGTGTGTGTGTGTGTGTGTGTGTGTGTACAATATACTGAATGTTTGTGTCCCTTCAAAATCCATATGTTGAGACCTAATCCCCAGTGTGATTAGTATTTAGAGGTGGAGCCTTTGGGAGGTGATTATGTCTGAGGGGGGAACCCTTATGAATGCAATTAGTGCTCTTCTTATAAAAGATCCCTGGGCTTCCCTGATGGCGCAGTGGTTGAGAGTCCGCCTGTCGATGCAGGGAACACGGGTTCGTGCCCCGGTCCGGGAGGATCCCACATGCCGCGGAGCGGCTAGGCCCTTGAGCCATGGCCGCTGAGCCTGCACGTCCGGAGCCTGTGCTCCGCAACGGGAGAGGCCGCAACAGTGAGAGGCCCGCGTACCACAAAAAAAAAAAATATCCCAGAGAGATCCCTCACTCCTCCTGCAAAGTGAGGACAGAGTAAAAAGATGACCTTCGATGAATCAGGAAGCAGCCCTCATCACTCATTGAATCTGCTGGCACCTTGATCTTGAACTTCCCAGCCTTCATAACTATGAGAAATAAATGTTTGTTGTTGAAGTCACCCAGTTTTTTAGTATGGTATTTTTGTTATAGTAGCCTGAACACACACACTCAGACAATATATATGTACATATATATATTGTGTGTATATATATATGTATATATATCACATTTATATATATGTAACTACGTCTATATTTATATCAACATCTCTATCTATCTATCTATCTTGAGGGATTTTAAGTGTTTGGCTCACGTGATTGTGCAGGCTGGCAAGTCTGAAATCTGCAGGGCAGGAGGGGAGAAGTTGATGTTGCATTGTTGAGTCTGAAGGCAAATCGCAGGCAGAATTCCTTCTTTCTTGGGGGATCTCAGTCTTTTCTCTTAATACCTTCAACTGATTATGTGAGACCCAACCACATTATGGTGGGTAATCTGTTTTAATCAAAATCTACTGATTTAAAAGTTAATCTCATTTAAAAAATACCTTCACAACAGCATCCAGAATGGTGTTTGGCCAAATGTCTGGGTACCACGGCCTGGCCAAATTGACACATTAAATTAACCATTGCAGGGACTCTCCATTTCTCCAATTCAGTCTCCTGTTGAAATGTTCATGTTCTTTGAAATTGTTCTCATATCACCTTACAATCTTCCCTGTGGTATAGCTTATGAGATAAAATTTATTTTATGAATTCATGAATGCTCATGCTATTTGGAGCTCAACGAAGAGTTTCTCTCTCAAAAAGCCTCCATTCTATCATAAAAGCCTTCCATTCAAGACCATTGTTCTACCTTGAAATTCAGAGCTGGCTGATAACTCCTTATTTTGTGGCCATGTTGCCACAGGGAAAAACTATGATGAGCAAATGGTGAGGAAATGGTAGTGGCTGACAGCTAGGGTCTTTTGTAGAACTATTTAACAATCTTCAGGACACCGATGCCCACCTGTTAGCCCAGGCACAAGTCGATAGCCATGCTACACCTGTACTGGTGAGTATTAGCTCAGTGTTGACCTCAGGGAAATCAAAACTCACAGAGAAGAATAGTCAGTCACACCTCAACAATGGCATCTATGTATAAGTTGCCGTTGGATTTAAGGAACAGAGAAACCATATTAATTGGCTTAAACACCAGAGCATTTCACTGTTGGGCTGGTTGCTTCAGTGGACATGTTTCTTCCATCTCTGGCTCTGCCATCCTCAGAGTCTTTCATGTTCCCTTATAGTCATTAAATGGCCACAGCAGTTCCAGGCATCATAACCTGATGTGACCACATCTATTGGCAGCAAAGGACCAAACCTTATGGAAAGTCTTTCTTCAGAGCACAGACTGTTTTATGTGAAGTCCTGGTCTTATAACCAGAACTTACTCACCAGCCCACTCCTTAAACAATCATTATTAGGAGAGCAAGATCCAATTATTGGGTTATATAAACCCCCCTTAATTTGGAGAAAAGAATGAACTTTTCCTGAGTCCTGTAAGGAAAAAGTGAATTCTTGCACAAAATTGGGGTCCTTTTAGCAAGGAAGGAGGCAGAATAACAAGCAAAGCATGGTGATCTTTTTTCCTGATTAGTTTTTATACAAGATTAGAGTATATTTTCAAAATTCTGGAATGACATTTGAACACTGCTTTCTACCATGCATTTCCCTCTCAGGTATTGTTTGATTGATCTGCTGTCTCCCTCTCTGGCCTCAGCATCTGGATTCCTCACTGCTCCTGCATGCACCCTGGCCCTTAACAACATGCAGAGCTTTAGACTCAGGTCTTGCTATCCTGCCCTTACTTCAGTGGGAGTAGATGCCTCTCTTTCATCTCTCGGAGCATTTTGCACATAATTCTGTAAAAACGGTAGTAACAGGAGCTAACCACGGATGCCAGCTTCTTTGATTCAGGCTCTCTCCAAAGGCCTCACATCTACCCATTTGCTCAGTCCTTATGACAACCATCTCCTGTTGGTGCTATTGTCACCCCCATTTCACAGATGAGGAAACTGAGGCATGAAGTAGCATACCAGTGCCCCTCTGTTAGACTTGGATGCTTTTCCTTCTTGCTCCAAGTTTCCTGCACTCTCCTGGGGGTGCTGAGCGCTTCTCACTCACCATGCTCTATGGAATTCATGCCACTGTTGGACTGTGGTCCTGCAGCCATGGTGAGAGCTAGGAAAGTAGGTCTGGGTGTTTCTCTATCCTCCAGCTCCTCTTGGGTAAGGCAAGGTGCTTTTCAGCTTTGCGTTCATGCCTGACACACACTAGGTACTCCATAAGTGTTAGTTGAACAAGTCAGTGAGTCAGAGAGCAGAGTTTGTGCCCATCCAAAGGAATTTAAATCAGGATCTTGAAGAGATATCTGCTCCCATGTTCATTGCGGCATTATTCACAATAGCCAAGATGTGGAAACAACCTTGTCCATAATAGAAGAATGGATAAAATGTCCATAAATAGAAGAATGGATGAAGACAAACAAAGCGTCCATCAGTAGATGAATGAATAAAGAAGATGTGGTATATATGTACAATGCAATGTTATTCAGGCATGACAAAGAAAGAAATCCTACCATTTGCAACAACATGGATGGATCTTGATGACATTAATAAATAAATGAGACAGGAAAGCTAAATACTGAATGAAATCAGTGAAATAAATGAGACAGGAAATATAAATACCAAATGAAATCACTCATGTGGAATCTAAAATAGTCAAACTCATTGAAACAGAGTAGAATGACAGTTGCCAGGGGCTAGAGAGAGGAAGAAAAGGGGAAATATTAGTCAGAGGGTGGGCAGTTTCTATTATGCAAGATGAAAAAGTCCTAGAGATCTGCTGTACAGCATAGAGCCTGTAGCTAATAATACTGTATTGTGGACTTCCCTGGTGGCACAGTGGTTAAGAATCCACCTGCCAATGCAGGGGACATGGGTTCGAGCCCTGGTCCGGGAAGATCCCACACGCCGCGGAGCAACAAAGCTCGTGTACCACAACAACTGAGTCTGTGCTCTAGAGCTCAGGAGCCACAACGACTGAAGTCTGCGTGCCTAGAGCCCATGCTCCGCAACAAGAGAAGAGCACCACAGCGAAGGGTAGCCCCCGCCTTGCTGCAACTAGAGAAAGCCCGCGCTCAGCAACGAAGACCCAACACAGCCAAAGATAAATAAATAAATTTAGATATAAAAAGCTGTATTCTGTACTTAATATTTGGTAAAAGGGTAGATCTTATATCGTGCTCTCACCACACACAAAATCATAATCATAATAGGGTGGGGAGAAACTTTGGGAGGCGATAAATATGTTTATAGCCTTGACGGTGGTGATGGCTTCACAGGTATATACTTAGCCTTAATAAAGTGGTTAAAAATATAACAGTCAATTGTTATTGTACTGTCTGCAGACTGCCTCCACGTGACGGCGTGAAAGTGCATGGGATTTGCAGTCTGATGGCCAGGTTATGCTCTCAATTCTCTATGTACCAGATCCAGTGGTATTCTCCAACGTACTCCCCTCTCTGTCAACAAAACACTCACGTGGCTGCTGACAGAGTTACAGGGAACATCCACTGAGTAGCAGTTGAATTTCCTCCCATTCTCTACCCCAGTGGCCACGGAGGAGAGGCTGACATCTCTGGCTACAGCCAGTCTCAGCTTTGAGAACTTCAGTTTGGAAAATCCAGTGATGTGAGTAATCGTTAGTCTCTGCCTTTGTCTGTGATGCAAGCCTGTTCACTCCATAGTGAGACCACATCCTTCCTGCTGGGCTGTGACTGCTATAAAATTCATCTAGTTTCCTCTCCGGCTGTTCCTGAGGCTGGCGTCTGGGTGAGTCCAGCTCTGTGGAGCGGGATGGCTGAAATGGTCTTGGGAAGAATGGGGAGATTGTGTCGTGGGCCAGAACTTGACTAGAGATTTCTTTTGCCAGCCTTCAGGTCTGTCCTTCAACAATGCTTCTGGAATGTTCTTTTATGTTTATCAGTATTTGGGTGCTATGTGTGCGAGTGCGAGTGTGTGTGGGGGGACGGGGGGTGAGGACAGGAGCCGCAACCACTGCTTACACCCATGACTCCAGCAGATTTGCCAAGCATTCCCCCAGAGAGAGGATAGATGGGATGCATAAAAGCAAATGAGTATTTTAGAAACCAAGGGACAGAGAAGGTGAAGGTCAGGGTGGGGTGCGCTAGGGTTAGGGATAGGGGAGCACAGAGGAAAGGCAGAGTCCTGATGTGGATGGAAATATCAATGGAATGGGACCTGGGAGGGTCTGCAGAGCTGGTGGATCTGTCTGGAGTGCCCCCTCCCCTCCTGCCACCTGCCAGATGCATAGGGAATGGATTTGGCGTGGGGTGCATGAGGCCAGGAGTGGAGAGGCAAGAATGAAGATAGAAGGAGAGATGAACATGTTTGAGATGTCTTGAACATTAAACTGTGTTCTTTATAAATTCCATTTTGGAGAGTTCCAAAGCTTCGCAGGGCCCCTCCCTTCCTTTAACATCATTTATGTCTTTGGGCTAATGTTGTGCTTTTCCAAATTCAGTAATATGAAGGGATCAATTCCAAACAAAGCCAATGTGTTCATCCATCTAAAATCTAGGAGATGTGTATGATCAAAAGATATAGCAGCTTATTTCTAGTCTTTGTGGAACTCAAACTCTAGTTAGGAAACTGAGTTGTTGAACACTATAATGAAAGGCTCTGTGTGATAAAACCTGGGAAAATGTCTTTGCCTTTTAACCATTCATTTTTATCATCTTCGATAACTTTTCCTCCTATCTGACTGAGATACCTACTTAAGTGGTGGAAGAAACGGTCTCACGCTTTTTAAGCTGAGAAAAATGCAACGTTAGGGACATGACTCAGAAATCAATGACCCTGGTCCAAATCCTGGCTTTGTCCCTCCTGGCTGTGAAACCCTGGGCAAGTCACTTAGCCTAAGACTCAGTCTCTACTTCCGTACCATGCGACTAGGAATATAATCTTTGGGCTTTGTGCATCAGTGCAGCACCTAGCCCATGAGAAGCTCTCAATAAATGTGAGTTCTAATAATTATTATAATTGTGGGTTTTGCAAAGAGACATTAAAGAAATATATGTGTTTATTATTCTCCCTTATCACCCCAAGTTCCATCTCATTTCAGTTTTTATCAATCAGTGGACTGATAAAAGGGCTGTTGCAGACCATCCTCTCCTCTACGTGTTTTATGTTCTCTGTCCTTTTCTCTCTCTAGACATATGCTCCCTGTTATCGCCATAGTTACTCACTCCTGGCATCCTTCTTCTTTTGTCCCTTACTCATCTTTCCTTGCTTCAAAACAGAAACAAGAAACCAGTCTTTCAGTTGGAAGGAATGTAAAAAACATATTTTCCACTCTGTCATTTTATAGAAGAGGAAACTGAAGTTGAAGCATAGTGAAGAATTTGTCCAAGGTCACACATAGCCAGTGATCAGTGGGACCAAAGTTCTCTTGGTGATACATCAAGGTGGCATCAGGAGGTGGTTTAAGATACACATTGCAATGTTAATGTGACTGTGTTTGTGGGTTTAATTTTTTGTCTCCACAGGGGCACCTTTTTTCCATGGCTCAGGACACACTCCTGGGTCAAGTCAATAGGAAAACTCTCTGGTAAGTATTTGACTCACTTTTCAAAACTAAAGATGGCAACTTGTTAGAGTCTGGTGATTTTTTTTTTTCCTTTCAATCTTCTGAGTTTTTGATAGTTTAGTTCTCTCTGAGGGTAGACTTCTTAAAAGACTTCTTATCCATATGGTGTTTTCACCACCCGATTTCCCAGTGTGGACCTATGCCCAAGGACTCTGACCAGGGCTGCAGACGAGCATGGCAAGCGTCCGCTGCAAGCTGGCTCGTTACCTGGAGGATCTGGAAGACGTAGACTTTAAGAAATTCAAGATGCACTTAGAAGACTATCCTAGTCAGAAGGGCTGCACGTCACTTCCTCGGGGTCAGACAGAGAAAGCAGATCACGTGGATCTAGCCACTCTGATGATTGATTTCAATGGAGAGGAGAAAGCATGGGCCATGGCCAAGTGGATTTTTGCTGCAATCAACAGAAGAGACCTTTACGAGAAAGTTAAGAGGGATGAGCCGGAATGGGGTGAGTGGAAGGAATACAGTGTATTTTTTTAAGCTGTAATAAAATACACATAATATAAAACTTACTGTCAACCATTTTAAAGTGTATGATTCATTGGTGTTAAGCACATTCACACTTTTGTGCAATCAATCTCCAGAAATCTTTTCATCTTGCAAAACTCTGTATCCATTAAACAACGATCCCTCATTCTACACTCCCCTCAGCCCCTGGCAACTTCTTTCTGTCTCTATGAATTTGGCTATTCCAGTACCTTTTATAAGTGGAATCATACAGTATTTGTCATTTTGTGTCTGGCTTATTTCACTCAGCATAAACATCCTCAAGCTTCACCCGTGTTGTCACATATGGCAGGATTTCGTTCCTTTTTAAGGTGGAATAATGTTTTGTGGTATGTATATACCACAGTTTGTTCATCCATTCATCCGTCAGTGGACTTTCTGGTTGCTTCTAGCTTTTGATTATTATGAATAATGTTGCTATGAACATGGCTGTACAAATCTCTTTGAGACCTTGATTTCAATTCTTTTGGGTATATGCCCAGAAGTGGAATTACTGGATTACATTACATTACATTACATTTACATTACATTACAATTACTGGTAATTCTAGTTTAATTTTTTGAGGAATATTTTCCATAATGGCCGCATCATTTTACACTCCCACTAGCAGTGTACAATTGTTCCACTTTCTCCACATCCTTACCAACACTTATTATATATATATATTTATATTTTTTTGATAGTAGCAGTCCTAATGGGTGTGAGAGGGTATCTCATTGTGGTTTCGATTTGCATTTCCCTATTGACGAGTGACATGAGCACCTCTCATGTGCTTGTTAGTCATTTGTTTATCTTTGGAGAAATGCCTGTTCAAGTCCCTTTCCCATGTTTTAATTGGGTTGTTTGTCTTTTTTGTTGTTGACTTGTAGGAGTTCTTTATATATCCTGGATATTAACCTCTCATCAGAGATATGATTTGCAAATGTTTTCTCCCATTCTATGGGTTGCCTTTTCACTTTGTTGATGGTATCCTTTGACAAATCAAAGTTAGTATGTTTGTTTATTTGTTTTGTTTGTTTGTTTAAATTTATTTTATTTATTTATTTTTTGGCTGTGTTGGGTCTTCGTTGCGGTGCGCGGGCTTCTCACTGCGGTGGCTTCTCTTGTTGCGGAGCATAGGGTCTAGGTGCATGGGCTTCAGTAGCTGTAGCAGTTGGGCTCAGTAGTTGTGGCTCGTGGGCTCTAGAGCAGAGGCTCAGTACTTGTGGTGCATGGGCTTAGTTGCTCTGCGGCATGTGGGATCTTCCTGGACCAGGGCTCGAACCTGTGACCCCGGCATTGGCAGGCGGATTCTTAACCACTGTGCCACCAGGGAAGCCCAGTATGTTTGTTTTTTAATCACTTGTTTTATTATCTTGGCTTCATCTTCTTTTTTCTTCTCATGATAGTGCTATGAGAAGATGGAGGAAGGCAGTTTACTTTTTTCTAACTCCTTTAAAAACCTAAGTCAGGGCTCATATACCGCTAGGAATCTTCTCTGATTAGTTACACTTTATCCAAATCTCTCCTGTGCCTGAAACTTCCTCCAGGTCTCCACCTAGCTCCTCATGTGTCTGCCTGCATAGTCAACAAACTTGAATCTCTGCTTCCCATGGCTCAGGGTGTTTTTTCTTCCAACCCGGTACTGTCCATATTGGCGTGTCTAAAGTCAATTAAAATGTTATTTATACTGGCAAAAAAAAATGAATCATCAGGTCAGAAGCACGGTGAACTGGGGAAGCAATATGGGTCTAATGAGGGAGATAAAAATAATATGGGGGCATGAGAGCAAGGGCATACATCAGTGGGATGTTACAAACAAATTGCGTATAATAACACAGTTATAAATGTGTCAGTACTTAAATACTCAGTAACCTTTTTAAAGTATAATAATCATAGTGGCAGAAGCAGTTTTTGTGGATTTTATTCATTCTTCACAAGAACCCCAGGAAGCCTGGGCTTTTTCAAATGAACTTTCAGTTTTATTATACTGAGTGAAATAAGCCAGCCACAGCCCCTGGTGGTTGCCAGGGGCTGCAGGGAATAGGGAATGGAGAATTGTTGTTTAATGGGTATAGAGTTTCATTTTTACAAGATGAAAAATAATTCTGGAGATTGGTTGCACAACCATGTGAAGTGAGCCTGGAAAAGGTTTTGGTTGCCCACGACTCTGTTCTAATCAGAGCGAAGACTGGGATTCAATGCCGAGTGTGTCTTTGGTGGAAGCCTGGCCCTTAACCACTGTGCCATTTGGCTTCTACATCTGGGTTTTGGGGTGGAAGAATTATAACTAGGGTTAGAAGTTTTTTGTTTTTATGGGGGGGGTGCTGGCTAGGGTTAGGTTTTAGGTAAGAATTAAATTTTAGTCTTGGTTGGAGTTAATGTTTCGATTTTGTTTTGTGGTTTTGTGTGTGTTGGATGAACAGCATTGCCATTCAGAATAAGTAGACACCTATCAGGAATCCTTTATGTAGCTCTTCGGTTCCTGCCCACCTAAAGTTTTCTGTCCCGTGTGTTTCCCTTGGTGCCTAGCTCTTATTCTACTGTGTCTAATTTCTCCTATGAGATGCTTCTTTGGGATGTGTTATTCAGCGATTGTTTAGATCTGTGATTCTCAACTGTGGATGCATGTTGGAGCTTTTAAAATATAATGGTGCCTGGGCTCCACCTCAGAGAATTGACAAAGGATCACCGGGGGTGGAGTCCTGGAATCAGTGTTTTTAAAGCTTTCTAGGTGAATCTAAAGTCAGCCAGGATTCTGAATACTGAAATAGAGAAATAGACATAAGCCAGGTTGGTTATTCTTACTCTTGAAGACTCAGGATATGGGTAAGATGAATTTCAGGTGTTTGGGGTCAAGGAAGGATGATATTGCTGGCCTTTAGCCATCTTGGGGATATTGGAACGTGCGTGGGATGGGCTCAAAACCAGAGCACCAGGGAGGGAGTCTGCCAAAGACAAATGAGGATAAGAAACCTTGATGCCTCACATGTTTACTGTTTGATTTCCAGGCTTGGGAGACAGATTCCAAGACTGGATACAGTGTGGACATAATTCTGGGTGGTATCCATTGCTTTGAAATTAGGAGTACAGGGATGCCCCCAACTGGACATTCAACTGAGCTGGTTTGGGAGATGTTCAGGGCAGGTGCCTTTGACCTGTGCCATGTGTTAGATATTGGATCTCAATGACATCACCTTAATCAGGAGTCCTGGGTTTTGACACTTTGAATTTTTCTTCCTTTTACTCTCAGATAATGCAAATGTTTCTGTGATAAGCCAGGAGGAAAGCCTTGAAGAGGAGTGGATGGGTTTACTGGGGTACCTTTCCAGAATCTCTATTTGTAAAAAAAAGAAAGGTAAGCAATGGGGGTGGCACTTCTAGTTGGGTTTGGAGACCTGGTTCTGTAGGTACTTGAAGCTAGGAAGGTGGATAACTTGGTGATCCTAACATGTTCCTGCCCCTTGGGGGTGAAAAGGCCTGTCTCAGGAAATCCACTTCAGCTTAAGGAATAGATTCATGTTTGCATGGCTCCTTGGAGTCCCAGAACCAAGGGGAGGCAATTGAGTGTTTCAGGTTTTATCAGGCATGAGCTGCAGACTACCTAAAGGAGTAAGATTGAATGAAAAGGATCTTCTGGCCAGGGCCAGTTCATATGGAGCTTTGCTGTTCTTTTGTTTAACCGTGTCTAGGAAGATTTTGACACCCTAGATTTTCTGGGGCTGTTCATACCCAGGAAGTGGAGAGAAACTGCAACTCCCATTCCTCAATTCCAGTTACCATTCCTTATAGACCACCGGCCCCTGTTGATAGCTCATCTCTGGTGGATGTGCTCAGGCTTCTTCCAAAATCTAACTTTCTGTCTCTGCCACAGATTACTGTAAGAAGTACAGAAAATATGTGAGAAGCAGATTCCAGTGTATCAAAGACAGGAATGCCCGTCTGGGTGAGAGCGTGAACCTCAACAAACGCTTCACCAGGCTGCGTCTCATCAAGGAACACCGGAGCCAGCAGGAGAGAGAACATGAGCTCCTGGCCATTGGTAGGACCTCAGCCAAGATGCAGGATGGCCCCGTGAGTTCCATGAACTTGGAATTGCTTTTTGATCCTGAGGACCAACACTCTGAGCCTGTGCACACGGTGGTATTCCAGGGAGCAGCGGGCATTGGGAAAACAATACTGGCCAGGAAGATCATGTTGGACTGGGCGTCAGAGGAACTTTACAAGGACAAATTTGACTATTTGTTTTACATTCACTGTCGGGAGGTGAGCCTTGGGATGCAGAGGAGCCTGGGGGACCTGATCGCCAGCTGCTGCCCTGGCCCAAACCCACCCATAGGCAAGATTGTGAGCAAACCTTCCAGGATCCTCTTCCTTATGGACGGTTTTGATGAGCTTCAAGGTGCCTTTGATGAGCACACAGAAGCACTCTGCACGAACTGGCAGAAGGTGGAGCGGGGAGACATTCTCCTGAGCAGTCTCATCAGAAAAAGACTGCTTCCCGAGGCCTCTCTGCTCATCACCACAAGACCTGTGGCCCTGGAGAAACTTCAGCACTTGCTGGGCCGGGCTCGTCATGTGGAGATCCTGGGTTTCTCAGAGGTCAGAAAGAAGGAATATTTCTTTAAGTATTTCTCAGATGAGCAGCAAGCCAGGGAAGCCTTCAGGCTGATTCAGGAGAATGAGATCCTCTTCACCATGTGCTTTATTCCCCTGGTCTGCTGGATTGTGTGCACGGGGCTGAAACAGCAGATGGACAGTGGCAAGAGTCTTGCTCGGACATCCAAGACCACCACTGCAGTGTATATCTTCTTCCTCTCCAGTTTGTTGCAGTCCCAAGGAGGGAGCCAGGAGCACCACAACTCTGCCACCCTCTGGGGTCTCTGTTCATTGGCTGCAGATGGAATCTGGAACCAGAAAATCCTGTTTGAGGAGTGTGATCTCAGGAATCATGGCCTGCAGAAGACAGATGTGTCTGCTTTCTTGAGGATGAACCTATTCCAAAAGGAAGTGGACTGTGAGAAATTCTACAGCTTCATCCACATGACCTTCCAGGAGTTCTTTGCTGCCATGTACTATCTGCTGGAAGAGGAGAATCAGGGGGAGACGAGGAACATGCAGCGGAGTAATTTGAAGCTTCCCAATCGAGATGTGAGGGTCCTTCTCGAAAACTACGGCAAGTTTGAAAAAGGGTATCTGATTTTTGTTGTCCGTTTTCTCTTTGGCCTTATAAACCAGGAGAGAACCTCCTACCTGGAGAAAAAACTGAGTTGCAAGATCTCTCAGAAAATCAGGCTGGAGTTGCTAAAATGGATTGAAGCAAAAGCCAAGGCCAAGATGCTACAGATTGAGCCCAGCCAGCTGGAATTGTTCTACTGTTTGTATGAGATGCAGGAGGAGGACTTTGTGCAAAGGGCCATGGGCTATTTCCCCAAAATTGAGATCAAGCTCTCCACCAGAATGGACCATGTGGTTTCTTCTTTTTGTATTGAGAACTGCCACCACATGGAATCACTTTCGCTGAGATTGCTCCATAACTCATCCAAGGAGGAGGAAGAGGAAGAGGAGGAGGAGAAAGAGGAGGAAGTTCAACACTCTGATGGGAACCCTTGTGTCCTCTCTGATCCTCATGTTGCATATTCTCAGCGGTAAGGAGATTCTGCTTCAGGCAGGTGGTAGTATATGTCTCCTATTTTCTAGCCACCTATCTCTTGGCTCTTGCTCTCTCTCCTTCCTTCTTAACTGTCTTGCAAATGCAGTTGCCACAGGTACATAATAATGCCACCACCGCTCATTTCTACCAGACCCCTTCATTGGCAGACATTGACTAGTAGAGAAAGGGTAGGTGGACAAACGCCATGAGAAAAAAGCCAATGAAACAAAAAGCAAATGTTTGGTGGATGCCAATTTAGCACAAGGCATTCTGTGGGGGAAAGAATGGAATAAAAATGTTCGTAAACTCAAATTGCTTGTAATGTACTTGGGGCTTTAGTGCATAATACCCTATCAGTACCTAAGGGGCAAAACAACCCCTTTGACTCTGCCCGGGAGCGCAGAGGACAGAGGGCCCTCAGTGTTGGATGCTTGGGGGAGGTTTCTTGGAGGAGTGAAGTTTGAGCCTGCCGTGAAGGATTGATAGGATGTGCGTGAGTGGAAGAGAAGGTAAAGGGATTTGTGCAATGGGTTCTTGTAGGAAGAAAGCATGAATATGGTCTGAGGAAGAGGACTTATGTTGGAGAAAATGGGGAGGGACATGGCTTCACTGGAACAATCAATGAGGGGAAATCGAGGGAAATAGGGCTGGAAAGGAGAGAGTGCTCCAAGGCTCCCACCTTGCGTTTGCAGCCAGGCATTTATCAACAGCACCCCCTTCAGGGTCTGTTCACCCCCTTGCTAGGGGGTTGGACGCCAGTTGCTGCTGTGTGTGTACAGTGAAGGGATTGAGTTACTTGACTTCTAAATCCTTGCACAGAAACTGCCACAGCTACAGTGGCTGTGAGGATGTGGCTGCTCTGTGAATGCTTGGGTTTAACTGCTATAGAAGACACTTGACATAGGACAAAATTAAGGAGAAAGAGAGCTGACCCTTTCACTGGCAGCAATACATTTTCGGCTCCCTCTCTTTGCCTCAGCACCACTACCAGGATGACTTTTCTATTTACTGTCGGGTCATCAAGGACCACCCGCTGGGGCTTCAGTGGTGGCTAAGACCAAGGTCCTGCTCACAGTGACTTACAGTTGGGTTGTGGGGACAGGCAGGAAACAAGGGCAGATGGTAGAGAGGATGGGCTTTGGCAAGAACACTGGTGGAGTGCCCCTAGAGCACATGGGTGGAGCCCTTGAACAGCCGGACCCTGAACGATGGGGCATGAGAGAGCCGTGGATGTGCAAAGGGCAGCCCAGATTGAGGGAACAGTGGGTTCAAAGGGTGGGAGGTGGGAAAGGAGGGTACATTTTGACAATGGCAAATAGTTCAGAATAGCTAGAGAGAAGTTGGGAGAGGGAGAGAAAGAGAGAGGGGGACTAAGAGGAGAAGATCTGCTCTCTAGGGCTCTAAAATTGAAGCTGAGTAAACAAGACATCTGACAGAGATCACACAGCTGTGAGGAAGGCTGGCGGAGACTCAGACTAAAACTCCTGATGACAAGCCTGATGCCCATCTTGCGAGATGACAGCTGCCTTCTTCTCAGGGCAGGAGCTTGCTTTGCGTGTTCTAGAGCCTTCGAAGGGCCGGCAGCGTGGGCATCCACCTGGTGCCTGTTAGAAGTGCAGGACTGCAGGCCTGATCCTAGATCCATGGAGTCAGAATCTGCATTTTAACAAGAGCTGAACTTTGAAATCACCTGGAAGTCTTTTTTTTTTTTTTTAACATTTTTATTGGAGTATAATTGCTGTACAATGGTGTGTTTGTTTCTGCTTTAGCCACTATGGAGAACAGTATGGAGGTTGCTTAAAAAACTAAAAATAGAACTACCATACGACCCAGCAATCCCACTACTGGGCACATGCCCTGAGGAAACCATAATTCAAAAAGAGACATGTACCACAATGTTCACTGCAGCACTATTTACAATAGTCAGGACATGGAAGCAACCTAAGTGTCCATCGACAGATGAATGAATAAAGAAGATGTGGCACAGTTATACAATGGAATATTACTCAGCCATAAAAAGAAACGAAATTGAGTTATTTGCAGTGAGGTGGATGGACCTAGAGTCTGTCATACAGAGTGAAGTAAGTCAGAAAGAGACAAATACCGTATGCTAACACATATATATGGAATCTAAGAAAAAAAATGTCATGAAGCACCTGGAAGTCTTAAAAATATCAATATGCTTGGTCCCACCTCAGAGATTCTGACTTTATTCCTATGGCCTGGCCTAGGGATTTTCGAGAGCACTGCTGATGCTATTGTGCAGAACTGGTGAGAACTGGTCTCTGGGTCACTTAGCAGAGTGTCCAGGGCCATGGGCAGGACAGCCGACTGTTGAGGGAGGAAGGATGCCTGAGGGAAGGGCCAGAGGGTATTCACAGTCAGCCAAAGTCACAGGCTCTTTCTTAATTGTTTTTTACTTTTAATTTTATTATTATTTTTTTATTGAGGTATAGTTGATGTACAATATTATATAAGTTTCAGGTGTATAGCATAGTGATTCACAATTTTTAAAGGTTACATTCCATTTATAGTTATTATAAAATATTGGCTATATTCCTTGTGTTGTACAATGTATTCTTATAGTGTATTTATTTTACACATAGTAGTTTGTACCTCTTAATCCCCTACCCCTATCTTGTTCCTCCCCATTCCTTCTCCCCACTGGTAACCACTAGTTTGTTCTTTGTATCCGTGAGTTTGTTTCTTTTCCATTGTGCTCACTCGTTTGTTTTATTTTTTAGATTCCACATATAAGTGATATCATATAGTATTTCTCTTTCACTTAGCATAATACCCTCTAAGTTCATCCATGTTGTTACAACAAAATTTCATTATTTTTAAATTTAATTTAGTTTTAAATTTTTATTTCTTTAATTGAAGTATAGTTAATTTATAGTGTCATGTTAGTTTCAGGTGTACAGCACAGTGATTCAGATACATATATATGTATATATATATATATTCTTTTTCAGGTTCTTTTCCCTTATAGGTTATTACAAAATATTGAATATAATTCCCTGTGCTCTACAGTAGGTCCTTGTTGGTTATCTATTTTATATATAGTAGTGTGTATATGTTAATCCCAACCTCCTAATTTATTCCTCCCTCCCCACTTTGGTAACCATAACTTTGTTTTCTATGTCTGTGAGTCTCTTTCTGTTTTGTAAATAAGTTTATTTGTATTATTTTTTAGATTCCACATATAAGTGATATCATATAGCATTTGTCTTTCACTTATTTCACTTAGCGTAATACCCTCAAGTCCATCCATGTTGTTGCAAATGAGAAAATTTCATTATTTTTTATGGCTGAGTAGTATTCCATTGTGTGGTGTGTGTGTGTGTGTGTGTGTGTGTGTATACATCCCATCTTCTTTATCCATTCATCATAGGCTCTTTGAATCATAGGTGTGTAGAACAGTCTTACCAAGTCTCCTCTGGCCTTTTTCTTTTTTTTTTTTTTGCAGTACGCGGGCCTCTCACTGTTGTGGCCTCTCACTGTTGTGGCCTCTCCCACCGCGGAGCACAGGCTCTGGACGCGCAGGCTCAGCGGCCATGGCTCACGGGCCCAGCCGCTCCGCGACATGTGGGATCTTCCCAGACCGGGGCACGAACCCGCGTCCCCTGCATCGGCAGGCAGACTCTCAACCACTGCGCCACTAGGGAAGCCCTCCTCTGACCTTTTTCATTCCTCAGTGCACAATCTTTTGTTCTGTGACTCATTTCTTAATTCCCAGGAGGCCTTTGAACTGGTGTCAGCCACTCGTGGCCCCTTGCTTCAGTTTGCTATTCTTAGAGATTGACTTTGTTTTCTGACCTTCCTTCCTTCCAATTTCTAGATTGGTGAACTATCTCACTTCCAGCATTTGCAGGGGCATCTTCTCAGTCCTGAGCGATAACTGGAACCTCACTGAATTGAACCTCAGTGGCAATACCCTGGGAGACCCAGGGATGAAGGTATTATGTGAAACACTCCAGCAACCTGGATGTAACATTCGCAGATTGTGGTAAGAACACGTGTGTGTCTGTGTGTGTGTGTGTGTGTGTGTGTGTGTGTGTGTATGTGTGAGAGAGAGAGAGAGAGAGAGAGAGAGAGAGAGGGAGAGAGAGAGAGAAAGGGAGAAGAAGGACCAGATTAGTGATTAGTTTTCTAAGGTTGTCATAACAAAGTACAACAGACTGGGAGCCTTAAACAACAGAAATTAATTTTCTCACAGTCCTGGGGGCTAGAAGTCCAAGATGAAGTTGTCAGAAGGGTTGGCTTCTTCTGCATATTCTCTCCTTGGCTTGTATTTAGCTGTCCTCTCCTTGTGTCTTCACATGGTCTCTGTGTGTGTCTGATTTCTTCTTCTTACAAGAACACGTCATGTTGGATTAGGGCCTACCCTAATGACCTATTTTAACTTAATTACTTTTTAAACACTGTCTCCAAATATAGTCACATTCTGAGGTCCTAAGTGTTGAGACTTCAACATGAAATATTTGGGGGGGACACAATTCAGCCCATAGCAAATGGGAAGGCAAAATTGATTGGAGGACAGTTGTTTGGGAAGTTTAAGATGGGGAAGAATAAAGGGGAACTGAAATTAAGTCATTTGTTGGTGTTATGAAAGGACGTGACTTTCAGTATCTTCCATTTCTTCATCAGCCATGCTTACCGATGAGATTTGAAGAGTTTCATCAAATACAGCAATGGCTACCTGGGCTGGAACCCATCAAACTAGTTTGCATAGGTTAAATTGTCACAGGGAATCTCTTGTAGATTTATTAATAAAATGCTTGCTGTGAGCCCACACTGTGAATCAGACTCGCATGCCCTGAGTTGAGCACACAGTTGTATTGGCCACCCCTCCAGGCGTCTTCCATCACACATCTGCATTTTTGATGAGCTACACAGCCAGTGTTAAAGCCCACCACTCCAGGAGATTTTCATTCCTTCCTCTCTTGTTCATCATAACCACTCCATCACCAGTCTTATTTTACCTATTACACAAACTGTTGTCCACTTTTCCTCATCCTTACTCTGTTACTGACTAGAGTCCTTAGACTCCTTAATCAACAGAAAGTCACTAGAGGCCAGATATGAATTCAGGCAAGGCTTTATTGGGGCTCGTGCTACAGCACAAGGGAGCAAAAACAAGTAACAGGGGCCCTCGCTCACACCCTGAGGGGAGGTGAGCTGGTCCCTTAAATAGGGTGAGGGTAGGGGCCAGAGGTGTGGCTTAGGTGGTCTGCCACCCCCTTGGTGGTGCTGTGTTCAGGGATCATGCGCAGTACCCTGCTTTTGCTCCTGGCACCTCAGAAACGGCAGTTGGGTTTTGACTTTTTTGTATCTTATTGTTCGTAATTTGCCCCAACTGCACACATGAACGCAGTTATGTTTAGTCCCGTATAGTTTCTTTGTGTTCTGTTGCTTGAGCAGACATTTGTCCAGGTGCAAGTACTGCAGTAAAGAGTCCCAGGTCCCAGCCTATCTCAACTCCACCAGCCCAGGTCCAACAACCACCATGATTTGCCTGGATAGTGCAATAGACTCTAAGACCATAAACTTCTCGTGACAGGATTCACGTTTGTTCCGCAATTGTCTCTATAATGTCTGGAGACATTGTTCTTACCACGTGTGTTCATGCCCAAAAATACATATTGAATGAATGTTGGCTGTTTGGTCTCCCTGCATCTACTTTTGCCACTCACCAATCCTTCTCTGTACAAAACACAGAGTGTTATTTAGAAAATTATACTTTGATCATGGCTTAAGCGCTTTATCTTTGCTCTTTTGACAAATTATAAATTGTTCTTCTTGCCTTCAAGGCTCTGGCTGGTTTTGACATTTAACCTTCCTCTCCACCATCATCCCATGCCACTCTCCCCATCGCCCCTGTGGGTGCCCCTGTGTGATTCCAGAAAGTGAGACACAAATGGGGAGACATGGGTGAGAATGAGATGTTTTGCAGATAAGATCTATTATCCATTCGCTTCTAGTTGGTGTGGAAATGGAGGCAGAAAAGATGATCCAACAAGCCCCAGGACATTTGAACTATTCGCCTGAAGATGAGCTGGAATATTGTTCTCGCTCCTCTGATAGGGACTAATTGTTGTTGCTGGTGGTGATGGTGGTGACGGAGTGTGTGTTTGTGTGTGTAAAGCAAATCAAGAATCAGGGCTGCTTGCTCCTTCAGTTTAGCTGAAGGGCTGGGATTAAATCATCAAACAGTATAGCAGGGACAAGGTTGGCAAAGAGAAAAGGTAGATGGGTACAACCCTAGAGAGAACAGTATCCATCTGAAGGAATTTCAGCTGTTAGGAACATGTGGTAAAGAGGTGGAACCCATAGGTTCACCATTGTTTTCATTTACAAAGCAGGAACTTGCCATTTATATACTCACATATATGCCCATTATTTATGGAGGGTGTCCACTGGCAGCTGTGGTCTCAGACTGTGAGCCAGTGAGCCCAACAGCTAACTTCCCAATATGCCTTGAGCTGTAGTCAGGAGTTCTGATAAGATGATACTTTCTTTCATAAAAATTTAGTTATAACTTACTCTTTGGAACATGAGAACACAGTGCCCCTTCCTGGTGCTAAAAACCAATCTAGTCCAGAAAGCAGTGACGGGAAAGCAGCCCAAGTTCTGACGTTTTCTGTTTCTCTGCTTGGCATGAAGGTTGGGGCAGTGTTGCCTTTCCCATCAGTGTTGCTTCAGCATCTCCTCGGTCTTGAGCAACAATCAGAAGCTGGTGGAACTGGACCTGAGCCACAATGCCCTGGGAGACTTTGGAATCAGACTTTTGTGTGTGGGACTGAGGCATCTATTTTGCAATCTGAAGAAGCTCTGGTGAGTCTGAACTAATTTCCCTCAAGAAGTATGAGCTGTGGCTTCAATGAGTCACGATGGTTTGGAATTTTAGTGTGAGAATGGCCTTTGCTGCTCAGAGGATTCCCTCTGTTTATCTCTGGGTGTTTGTCAATAATTAATTCAGTTAGTGTTTGTTGTAGTAAAAGCCATATACTCAGCCCTGGAGGGGAACTTAAAAAAATCCAAAATGTCATGCTTGCCTTTAAGGTATTTACAACCTAGCTGAGAAAATAAAACCAATGTACTGCATTGCTATAGAAGAGTTTTTGGACTTGATGACAGGGCCTTGGTCCACACAGAATAGGAAAAACGATGCTAAAGCAATGCAGACACTTGACATTCTATGCGGCTCTTCATTAAATGCTTCTGGGAGACTTGAATTTTGAAGAAGACAAGAAAGCACTTGAAAATGGTAGGGCTGATTCACACCCATTAGGGTGGCTATTATAAAAAAGCAAAGCAAAACAAGACTACATATTCAGTAAAATAAACCAGAAGAAAAAGGGCAAATATTGTATGATTTCACTTATATGAAGTACCTAGAATTGTCAAATTCATAGAGACAAGATGTAGAATGGTGGTTTCCAGGGGCTCGAGGGAGGGGAATTGGGAGTTATTGTTTAATGGGTACAAAGTTTCAGTTTGGGAAGATGAAAAGGGTTCTGGAGATAAACAGCGGTAGTGTTGCACAATTATGTGAATGTTACTTAAGTGCTACTGAATTGTAGCACTTATAAATGAACACTTATAAATGTTTACAATGGTAAATTTTATGTTATGCATATTTTGCCACAATAAAAATACATGTAGAGATCTGGGAAGATGCTGTAACATTGCATGGGCTTGGAAGGTGTTTACATGCTATTATACCAACCAGAAAAAGAAGCAAAAAGTTAATAAAGGGCTTGGATGTACTCTTTCTATGTGTGGACTGGACTGTAGGCAAAGGCAGGACAAGTGCTTTCTTGAGTCACAGCAGAGTGGGGAGTGGGATGAGAGAGGTGTTGTGACATTCTGCCATCTCTGAAGGTTGGTCAGTTGCTGTCTCACATCGGTGTGTTGTGATGATCTCGCATCTGTTCTGAGCACCAACCATTCCCTGACCAGACTCTACTTGGGAGAAAATGCTCTGGGAGACTCAGGAGTTGGAATTTTATGTGAAAAAGCAAAGAATCCACAATGTAACCTGCAGAAACTGGGGTAAGTCTTCATGAGTGTCTCAGCAATAAAGCAACTTATCTTTAGGGATACATTGTTTGGAAAATGTGATACATTTTCCATTGTTTGGAAAATGTGAGTGGGGGTTACTCTAAAAAAGATTAATCAGATGGAGTTGAGGGTAAAGAATGGGAGAGACAATATCTGAAGTAGTTTGAAGCACTAGATACTACCAACTGCTAGTAAGTTAGTTATGTCTATGCTACTGAATGCAAGTTCGTGTGCCCAGCACACAGTGAGGCAAAACAAACTGGAACATTGCAGTTTGGAGTAGAGAAAGGTTTATTGCAGGGCCATGCAACGAGATGGGTGGCTCATGTACCCCAAAACCCTGCACTCCTTTAAGGGTTTCAGCAAACATTTTTAAAGGCAAGTTGAGGGAAGGGCGTGGGTGGTTGTTGCAGACTTCTTGGTGTTATAATCCTTTGTTCTTGCACTGTCCATGTAGGTCAGGTCACACTGTTCCCATAAACCTCCAGCAAGACAAATGTTACCCTGTATTCTGTAACTTTTTATCTCCACGTGGATGACTCTTAAAAGTCAGAGCCTTGAGAATAGGCTATTCTGTATATTTCAGGCTACAGGCAACATTCTTATACAAAGGGGCAAAGCATGACTAAGCACAGGCAACAGGGCACAAAGGTTAAAGTAAAAGAACCAGATCTGATATGGAGTCAGATTTGTTCTTCTCTATTACATATAGAAGTGGAGATTCTCAGAGTTGAAAGAAAGCTTAGGAATTGTGCAGCCCAGTGAAGCAGCGAAGCATTTGCTTCTAAGACATTCACGTGGGTAGTCACCCATTTTACGGGTAAAAATTTCTAGGCATGCTAGTCATTGCTACACTGCCTGCAGTTCTTATTTCTATGCAGCCCCTTCTTTGTTTTTTGTGCATTGGTCCTTGTTCTGCTCCCCAGGTTCTGCTAAGAGATGCTGATCTGAATTCCTCAGAGACAACAGTCACACTCTAGGTCTTCTCATCTTTTGCCTGGCTGTCTCTAAACCCTTAACTAGGACATGGCTTAGCACCTTCACCTATTTAGTTATGTTGTCCTAGGTGAGAGTTGGTCTGTTAATGTCTCTATTCAAAGTACAATGCCCAGACCTGAACCTGATACTCCTAAGGATGTGTGGTGGAACTTTCACCTCCTGTGTCAGGGCACTATACTGTCACTGGTGAAGCCTGGGATTTCCTTATATTTCTGGCAATCACACTAGATCATGAGTTCTACTGGATGTCTGCAGTCAATAATAATACACATTTTGGGGGTGTTTCTAACACCAATAACCAATTTTCTGCAGACACCAACTGGGTGTCTTACGAGTCAATTCGATTTTGACGCTAAGTACCCAGAGTTATTGCAGACCCTTTAGCTAAGGTCTCAGTCCAAAAAGACTGCCTCCACCAACCCCTGCCAATGTCAGACATCAATTGCAAGTAGTGGGTCCCCAGATTACTCACACTTCTTTCTGACTTGGCTACAAATTGAGGATTCACACGACCCCCTACTCAGGTGGGAAAATTTGCTAGAATGACTCTCAGAAATCAGGAAAATACTTTACTTACATTTACATTTTTTATAAAGGGTACAAATAATCAGATGAAGAGACACATAGGGTGAAGTACAGAAGGGTCTGGAGCCCGGGGGCTTCTATCCCCATGGAGTTGGGGTGCTTTACCCTCCTGGCATGTGGATATATTCACCAACCCAGAAGGTCTCCAAATCTCATTGTTCAAGAGATTTTATAGAGATTAATCTCCAGCCTTCCTCCCCTCTCCTTCCTGGAAGTTGGTGGATGGGGCTGAAAGTTCCAACTTTCTAATCACTTGGGCTTTCTGATGATCAGCCCATCTGAACCTATCTAGGGGCCTGACCTTAAGTTACCTCATTAGCATAAACTCAGGTGTGATCAAAAGGGGCTCCTTTGAATAACAAGAGACAGTCCTATTACTCAGGAAATCCCCAGGGTTTTAGGACCTCTGAGCTGGGAATGGGGGACAAAGACCAAATGTATTTCTTTTTAAAAATTTTTTAACATCTTTATTGGAGTATAATTGCTTTACGATGGTGTGTTAGTTTCTGCTTTATAACAAAGTGAATCAGCTATACATATACATATATCCCCATATCTATCTCCTCCCTCTTGCATCTCCCTCCCACCCTCCCTATCCCACCCCTCTAGGCGGTCACAAAGCACCAAGCTGATCTCCCTGTGCTATGTGGCTGCTTCCCACTAGCTATCTATTTTACATTTGGTAGTGTATATATTTCCATGCCACTCTTTCACTTCATCCCAGCTTACCCTTCCCCCTCCCCACATCCTCAAGTCCATTCTCTATGTCTGCGTCTTTATTCCTGTCCTGCCCCTAGGTTCTTCAGAACAATTTTTTTTTTTTTTAGATTCCATATATATGTGTTAGCATAAAGTATTTGTTTTTCTCTTTCTGACTTACTTCACTCTGCATGACAGACTCTAGTCCATCCACGTCACAACAAATAACTCAATTTTGTTTCTTTCTATGGCTGAGTAATATTCCATTTTATATATGTGCCTACCACAAAAATACCCACTGATAATGTGCACTTTACCATGTATCACTGCTCTTCCATGTTCTTTACATTGGGTTATCTCAGTTGGCCTCATAAAAACTACACTGAGTAGATATCAGTGTCTCCAATTGAAAGAGGAGAACGTGAGGCTCAAAGAGCTTAAAGGCAGGAAAACCCAATGCAGATACAGTCCAGTGTAACCCACCACCCACCCCTTAACTCCAGCACAACACTGCCTCATGATGAGTTGCTAGTAGGCTCTCTAGAAGGCTTCTACAATATATTCTGCCCTCTCCAACCTGTGTGGCACCTCACATTTAGGTCTGTTAAATTTCTTCATATCTTTCTTTTGACTCATTTTCTAGGCATTATTTTAATTTAATTTTTTAAAAAATATACAGCAGGTTCTTATTAGTAATCTATTTTATATATATTAGTGTATACATGTCAATCCCAATCTCCCACTTCATCCCACCACATCCTCCACCTCCTTGCTTTCCCCCCTTGGTGTCCATACGTTTGTTCTCTACATCTGTGTCTCTATTTCTGCCTTGCAAACCGGTTCATCTGTATCATTTTTCTAGATTCCACATATATGCGTTAATATATGATATTTGTTTTTCTCTTTCTGAATGACTTCACTCTGTATGACATTCTCTAGGTCCATCCACGTCTTTACAAATGACCCAATTTCATTCCTTTTTTATGGCTGAGTAATATTCCATTGTATATATGTACCACATCTTCTTTATCCATACATCTGTCGATGGGCATTTAGGTTGCTTCCATGACCTGGCTATTGTAAATAGTGCTGCAGTGAACATTAGGGTGCATGTGTCTTTTTGAATTATAGTTTTCTCTGGGTATATGCCCAGTAGTGGGTCATAAGATAATTCTATTTTCAGTTTTTTAAGAAACCTCCATACTGTTCTCCATAGTGGCTGTACCAATTTATATTCCCACCAACAGGGCAAGAGGGTTCCCTTTTCTCCACACCCTCTCCAGCATTTGTTGTTTGTAGATTTTCTGATGATGCCCATTCTAACCAGTGTGAGCTTATACCTCATTGTAGTTTTGATTTGCATTTCTCTAATAATTAGTGATGTTGAGCAACTTTTCATGTGCCTCTTGGCCATCTGTATGTCTTCTTTGGAGAAATGTCTATTTAGGTCTTCTGCCCATTTTTGGATTGGGTTGTTTGTTTTTTTAATATTGAGTTGCACGAGCTGTTTATGTATTTTGGAGATTAATCCTTTGTCCATTGATTCATTTGCAAACATTTTCTCCCATTCTGAGGATTGTCTTTTCATCTTTTTTATAGTTTCCTTTGCTGTGCAAAAGCTTTTAAGTTTCATTAGGTCCCATTTGTTTATTTTTGTTTTAATTTCCAATACTCTGGGAGGTGGGTCAAAAAATGTGCTGCTGTGATTTATGTCAAAGCATGTTTGTTCTTCCTATGTTTTCCTCTAAGAGTTTTATAGTGTCTGGTCTTACATTTAGGTCTTTCATCCACCTTGAGTCTGTTTTTGTGTATGGTGTTAGGGAGTGTTCTAATTTCATTCTTTTACATGTAGCTGTCCAGTTTTCCCAGCACCACTTATTGAAGAGACTATCTTTTCTCCATTGTATATCCCTGCCTCCTTTGTCATAGCTTAGTTGACCATAGGTGCGTGGGTTTATCTCTGGGCTTTCTATCCTGTTCCACTCATCTTTATTTCTGTTTTTGTGCCAGTACCATATTGTCTTGATTACTGTAGCTTTGTAGTATAGTCTGAAGTCATGGAGTCTGATTCTTCAAGCTCCATTTTTTCTCCTCAAGATGGCCATGGCTATACGGGGTCTTTTGTGTCTCCATACAAATTTTAAGATTTTTTGTTCTAGTTCTGTAAAAAATGCCATTGGTAATTTGATAGGGATTGAATTGAATCTGTAGACTGCTTTGGGTAGTATAGTCATTTTCACAGTATCGATTCTTCCAATCCAAGAACATGATATATCTCTTGATCTGTTTGTGTCATCTTTGATTTCTTTCATCAATGCCTTATAGTTTTCTGAGTACAGGTGTTTTACCTCCTTAAGTAGGTTTATTCCTAGGTATTTTATTTTTTTATTGCAATGGTGAATGGGATTGTTTCCTTAATTTCTCTTTCTGATCTTTCATCGTTAGTGTATAGGAATGTAAGAGATTTCTGTGCATTAATTTTGTATCCTGCAACTTTACCAAATTCATGGATTAGCTCTAGTAGTTTTCTGGTGGCATCTTTAGGATTATCTATGTACAGTATCATATCATCTGCAAACAGTGACAGTTTTACTTCTTCTTTTCCAATTTGTATTCCTTTTATTTCTTTTTCTTCTCTGATTGCCATGGCTAGGACTTCCAAAACTATGTTGAATAGTAGTGGTGAGAGTGGACATCCTTGTCGTGTT